GTATTTGGGATGGTGCTCATCATTCTTCGTCCTCCAAACACGGCGAGTGGAATTAAGACCAAAAAGTTCTATTTTGGTCTCATCTGACCACAGAACTTTCTCCCATGACTCTGGATCATCCAAATGGTCATGGTCAAACTTAAGATGGGCCTGGACGTGTGCTGATTTAAGCAGGGGAACCTTCCGTGCCATGCATGATTTTAAACTATGATGTCTTAGTGTATTACCCACAGTAACCTTGGAAACAGTGGTGCCAGCTCTCTTCAGGTCATTAACCAGCTCCTCCCGTGTAGTTCTGGGCTGATTCCTCACCTTTCTTAGGATCATTGATGCGCCACGAGGTGAGATCTTGCATGGAGCCCCAGTCCGAGGGAGATTGACAGTCATGTTTAGTTTCTTCCATTTTCTAATAATTGCTCCAACACTTGGCAATTGCCTCGTAGCCCTTTCCAGCCTTGTGGAGGTCTACAATTTTGTCTCTGGTGTCTTTGGACAGCTCTTTGGTCTTAGCCATGTTAGTAGTTGGAGTCTTACTGATTGTGTGGGGTGGACAGGTGTCTTTATGCAGCTACCGACCTCAAACAGGTGCTTCTAATTTAGAATAATAAGTGGAGTGGAGGTGGACGTTATAGAGGAGGACTAACAGGTCTTTGAGGGCCAGAACTGTTGCTGATTGGCAGGTGTTCAAATACTTATTTGCAGCAGTAACACACAAATGAATTATTAAAAAAATCATACATTGTGATTTCCAGATTTTTCTTTTAGATTATGTCTCTCACAGTGGACATGCACCTAAGATAAAAAATTCAGACCCCTCCATGATTTCTAAGTAGGAGAACTTGCAAAGTCGCAGGGTGTTCAAATACTTACTTTCCTCACTGTAGATGACTGTCTAAAGATTACCCGACCAGCCGGCATGCCTGAGCGTGCGTCCTTCACACCTTTTTGGCGGTTTACAGCCTCCGCATTTGAACGAACTTCTCCTAGGGATTTTGTTCAATCGGTTTTAATCTTGGCCATTTTGGTCAAAAGGCATGAGGGATGCAAAGTTATCTAAACGGTTAGTTTCGGAGCATGCTGAAGGGGCGGGGCCAGACTTTAAAGTTTGACATCTCGCCATGAAAAACAAAATGCTAATAGCTCCTACACAAAAACTGTCTGAGACATCAAACCTTTAGTGATTGATCCACATCCGGTCCACTGCAAGACTGAATGGTTAAATCACTTAAGCCACGCCCCCTGACAACAGGAAGTATAAAGTTTTACGTTAAACGATCCCTATCTGACCCCTGTTACCTGATCAGCATGATAGTGTGTCCAGTGACCGAAGACATGCTGGTGTAACTTGCTTTCCAACACTGACAGTTGTGGGTGGAGCATGTGTGCGGCGTGACGTGGCTAAGTAGGATGTAATGCCGTCGCCATACGTTTGGCTCTAAATTCCACAGATTTGAAACGAGGTGCATCAAAATCAGTATGATTGATCATTATCCACCCATTGAACAGGAAGCTATGATAATTGGCCGAGCCTCCACAGCGCCCTCTAGAAGATTTTAAAACCTCAGCCCCAAGCCATTTTTGGACAGATAATTCTGAAACTCTGTGAGCATCTGTATCTTCTCAGGACCTATGAAAAAGTCTCTTGGAGCCCTGGTCCAAACTCAACAGGAAGTCGGTCATTTGGGGTCAAAGGGTCATTTTGGGGCGTTTCTAATGGCGAATTTTAACGAACTCCTCCTAGCAATTTTGAAGGATTGCCTACAAACTTGGTTAATGTGCCCTTAACACATTGGGGAGTAAAAGTTATCAAAAGCTTTTGATTTTGTTTATGATAAAGGGGAGTGGCCAGGCCTCAAAGTTGTGCTTCACGCCATAAATTTACAAACACTATAACTTTCACATTGAAAGACCGAAATGCACCAATCTTGGCATGACTCATCCCTGTTGGATGCCCGATGATCCACTGTCATATTTTGACATCATCGAAGCCCCGCCCCCTCAGAACAGGAACTCTCTTTTTTTACTTGGAATGCTCCTTCTTTGACACCCTCGATTTAATCAGGATGATCCTGTGTTAGAATACATATAACAAGTTGATCTGACTTGATTTAAATTACAAACAGTTTTAGCTGGAGGATGTGGGCGTGGCGGCATGACGAATTAAGAAGTGACACCATTGCAATACGTTTGGCTCTAAATTGCACAGATTTGAGACGAGGTGCACGAAAATCACTAGGATCGATCATTACCCACCCCTTGAACAGGAATCCATGATAAGTGGCCAATAGCCTCCACAGCGCCACCTACATTATTCTTATAATTATATCTCTGTGATACGTAATTCGATCTGAACCAGATTTATTGTGCAGGATCAGTGAGCACTTCTACACACATTGATATTGTGGTTTAACAAATGACTCTAGTGCGCCCCCTACATTATTCCAACAGTTATATTTCAGTGATACATCATCCTATCTACACCAGATTTTGGGTGCGTCATCTGTGAGCATTTCTGGACACATTGTTGTTGTGGTTTTACTTTTGACTCGAGTGCGCCCCCTAGGTTATTCCAAAAGTTATACCTCAGTGATATATCAACCGATGTGAACCAGATTTTTGGGGAGTCAGTCAGCACTTCTAGACACGTTGGTGTTGTTGTTTTACGTTTGACTCAAGTGCGCCCCCTAGATTATTTAATCAGTTATATCTCAATGATATATCATCCTATGTACACCAGATTTTGGGTGTCATTAGTAAGCACTTCTAGACACATTGGTATTGTTTGTTAACTTTTGACTCCAGTGCGCCCCCTAGATTCTTCCAACAGTTATGTTGAAAAGCCTAAAGGAAGTCCTTTTACATTCGCGAGAAAACGGGAAGTGACAAACTCCCGTCTGGAAGGTCGGATTTTAGCCAAACTTGTAAGACTTAAAGCCGGACTCATACTGATATGAGCGGAAGGTGATTGCAAAGTTTCAGCATACGCACACCCTGGTGGACGCGTGCGGGAATCACACACGAGCGTTTGCGATGGCGACTGGGCGGAGTCGCCAGAGCTCCCACGGTCGCCCTAAGGCCGGAGCGGTGCTTTGCAGCGAGGGCCTTCAATGCTGCTTGCAGCTTTAATTAATGTTGTGCTTCTTTTAGCTAATGTTGTGCTTCTTTTAGCTAATGTTCTGCTTCTTTTAGCTAATGTTCTGCTTTTTCCCCCTCCCTGGGCTGCCACCTTACTGTGGTGGAGAGGTTTGAGTGTACCAATGATCCTAGGAGCTATGCTGTCAGGGGCTTCAGGCCCCTAGTAGGGTCACCCAAGGCAGACAGGTCCTAAGTGAGGGACCAGACAAAGTGTAGCCCAGAGACCCTGATGATGAGAAAAATAAATGGAAACAATGTTCCCTCGCCTGGACGCGGGTCACTGGGGCCCCACTCTGGAGCTGGGCCTGGAGGTGGGGCACGCTTACAAACTGGAATCTATCAGATAGATATGATTTAAACCATTTTAGAGCTGTTCCTGTAATTCCAATATCATATTCAAGCCTCTGTAGTAAAATATTGTGATCAACTGTATCAAATGCAGCACTGAGGTCTAACAGGACCAGTAGAGACACAAGTCCATTGTCTGAGGCCATGAGAATATCATTAGAGACTTTTACTAGTGCTGTTTCTGTGCTACGATGAGCTCTAAACCCTGACTGAAACTCTTCAAACAATTATTTAATTGTAGATGTTCATGCAACTGACCTGCAACTATTTTCTCTAGAATTTTTGAGATGAAAGGTAAATTAGATATAGGTCTATAGTTGGCCAGAATTTCTGAATCAAGGTCAGACTTCTTAAGTAAAGGTTTAATTACATCAACCTTAAAGCTCTGTGGTACATAACCATCCATTAAAGACAAATTAAACAGATCCAAAATGTGGACATTAATTAGTGGAAATACCTCTTTAAACAGTCTGGTTGGGATGGGATCTAGCAGGCATGTGGATGGTTTGGATGAGGTTATTATTTTTGACAATTCAGAGCTCAACAGGACAAAAACTGTCCAAACATACATCAGGCTCTAGTGAAATTTTTAAAGTTGCCTCATTTGACAGGGGACTAGAGATAGTAGAAGGAAGGATGGTTTGAATTTTCTCTCCTATTGAAATAATTTTATTTAAAAAATAATCTTTTAGCTGTTATTATTTTAGCTTAAGTTCTTCTTTTAGCTCATTTTCTGTTTCGTTTAGCAGATCTTCCCTTTCGCTTAGCTAATGTTCTTCTTTTAGCTAATGTGTTTCTTTTAGCTGTTCTTATTTTAGCTAATGCTCTTCTTTTAACTAATGTTCATTTAGCTAACATT